TTGAATTAGTTTATGATTTTAAAAATGCAAATGTTCCTGAATTTAACAACAGACTGAATAACATAAGTTGGCAAAACCTTTTAAAAGATGAAAACAACATGGACAAGGCTGTTGACATATTTTATACTAACTTATACAATATTATTGAAGAATTCGTTCCTAAAAGACAAAAGAGAATAGTGAACAGCACCAAATATCCTGTGTGGTATACACAAGAAATCAGAAATATTAAAAACAGGAAGCAAAAAGCACACAAGGCGTATAAAAAGTTTAAAACGTCACAAAATTTAGAAAAATACGTTGAAATTTGCGGAGCACTTGAGGCAGAAATATCGTCAGCATATGAGAATTACAATTCAAGAGTAGAGAACAATATAAAATCAGATCCCAAAACGTTCTTTAACTTCGCGAACGAAAAAATGAAGTCATGTACATTCCCATCACGCATGCAGTTTGAAGAGTGTGATAGCACTGATAGTGAGAATATTTGTAACCTATTTGCTCGTTTTTTCCAAAACACATATAAGAAATCCAGTAATGCTCTCGATTTGAACTATTTTTCTTACCTACATGAAGGGGAAAATGACGTATCAGTTAAAAATATCACTGTTAAAGAAATTTTTATGACTTTTGAAAGTCTCGGTGGAGTTCAAAGGACCTGGTCCTGATGAAATACCTCCATTTTTATTGAAAAAAATAGCAACAAGTTTTGTTAAACCATTGTTTTGGCTTTACAATTTATCTCTCAAAACAGGTGATTTTCCAAAAAATTGGAAGAAATCATTTTTAGTTCCAATATTTAAATCTGGCAAACGGTCAGATATTAAAAACTATAGAGGTATTGCAATTATGTCATGCATTCCTAAAATGTTTGAAGCAATTGTTAACCAGAAAATATTTAACCAGGTTAAGCATCGCATTTCAAATAATCAACATGGTTTTTTTAAAGGTCGGTCAACGTCTACTAATCTGTTGGAATTTGTAAACTTTTCTATTGAAGCAATGGATAGAGGTAATACCGTTGAAACCTTATACACTGACTTTAGTAAGGCCTTTGACAGAGTAGACATTCCCTTACTTCTTTTTAAATTAAAACGTTTAGGTATGTCAAGTACACTTTTAAAATGGATTGGATCATACTTGACAGAAAGAACACAGATGGTCCGCTTTAAAGGAAAAATATCTTCGTCAGTTAATGTTACCTCGGGAGTTCCACAGGGATCTCATTTAGGTCCTTTATTATTTATTTTATTTGTGGATGACGTGAAGTTTGTGTTAAATCGTTTAAATGTGCTCATATATGCTGACGATATGAAACTGTACATGGAAATCTTTGACAATTCTGATTTGCTACATTTTAAAAATGAAATTGATGTTTTCTACAACTGGTGCGTTAAAAGTCTGCTGGATATTAATGTTAAAAAATGCAATATTATATCATATTCCAGAAAAAACACTACTCTAAATTTTACATGTACTCTAGGAAACCAGCTGGTTGTAAGGTGCGATAAAATTAGGGACTTAGGAGTAATTCTTGACTCGAAGTTGACATTTGTAGATCATGTGAATACCACAATTCACAAAGCAAATAATATGTTGGGATTCATAAAAAGATTTAGTTATCATTTTAAAGACCCATATACCATCAAAACACTTTATATAGCTTACGTGAGATCAATTCTCGAATACTGCAGTGTGGTTTGGGCTCCATACCATGAAACTTATATAAATCGTATGGAATCAGTTCAAAAACAGTTTTTGTTATTTGCTCTTAGGAAACTAGGCTGGACCTCTTTTCCCCTTCCTTCTTATGAGTCCCGTTGCATGTTGATAAACATTGAAACACTTAAGAAACGAAGAGAAATTTCCATGATTTCCTTTGTCAATGATATTATCTCACAACGCGTAAATTCAGAAAAAAATATTAGCAAGATTAAATTTTTACGTACCATCACGCATGTTAAGAACTCGAAATGTATTTCAACTGTCACTTCACAGAACGAATTATGGTAAAAATGGACCAATTAATAGAATGATGAGAGTGTATAATAATTATTGTGAGCATATAGATCTAACGATGTCTAAAGATACAGTAAGGAGAACACTAACTGCTAGGATTTCATCTCGTTAAGTTTAAAACAATTTTTATTTTTTTGATATTTGTATATGCAGTCTACATTTACTGACAATTTCAAATAAAATGTATGTTTTAAAATAGCATGTAAGGCAACAGCACTATTGTAAAACGGTCTACACTGATTGACGACAATTAAATAAATAAATAAATAAATGATATTGAACGTCAATTGAATAAAATTGAAAATTATTTAGAAAAATCTATCTTTTTATAATGAGAATCTCGCCAAAGAATAGCAGACTCGGGCCCCACAGATCCTAAATTCGGCACTACCCAGCATCGTCTTAGTCTTAGTTTTCGTTTTTTTTTCCTTGATTTGTTTTTCGTCTATCTTTGTTTTCCGAGCTGAGCAGCAATGCTACCGACGCCAGGGAGGCAGCTCCCACACCTGGACCCTACCTCTCGACCCATCAACTCATGAACCGGGGATCAACGGCTTTACTTCCCTTCCGTGATCAGAGATGTTATGCCTCAGAACATCCCGACTGGGATTGAACCCAGGCCTGCTGGGGTGAGAGGTAACCGCTTACCACTACACCACCGGCGCCGCTTACAAATAAGTTGTATACCTTTTTATTTATTTATTTATTTTTTATCCCCATAGGATTGCAATGATCGTGGTTGATGGGAAAATTTTACAAGTGACCACGATGCCGGACGGATTAGTCTATGGTGACCAATTAAACACCGGATTCACGATCTTGATTAATCATAATCTTCTTGAAAATCTTTATGGTTCGGTAATCGCTGGTCTGTCTTTGTCTATGTCTTCTTCTCATTCGTACGTCAGTTTTAATGTCTGGATGTTTTCTTGTCTAATGTCATGATGTGTTTATGTATCTGTGTGTATGTGTGTGTTTGTGTGTTTACACCAAATGATATTATATTTCTTCCTCATCTCCTAGTTTTAACTGCGTTCAAGAATAATTATTTAAAAAAATATAAAAAAAAAACGTTGCAAAAGTTCATACTATAATATATCTAACTTACTATCCACATTTGTTGACTTATACCTAAATGTATTTTTTTAATTATATGACGATAAGTTGCTCAAAATAGCAGCCAGTAATTCCGTACCAGAATCCGCCTCCAGTTCAATGTCTTTCGATATTTTCGAAGGCGAACACTCCGCAACCTATTCTTGCTAGTGATTCTGTCCAATTGTAAGGTATACAAATAATAGTCATTCGTAAATTTATTATTGAATATATGGACGAATCATCTATTATTGAATAACTATTATTTACGATAATTACATGAAATAAATAAAATATAAACTACAAACAAAACGTGACAACTAAAATCTCAAACAGGTATTCTCACAAATTTATTTCACGCAACCAGGAATCTGAAACCCATTAGACGCTATAATGATACTCTGCACATGCTAGACACAAGAAGAGGCCAAAAGGCAAGCGTCCGACACACAAAACCCGCCAAATCCACTCGCAGCCACAATCAACGATTCTACGAATCGCGAGCGCTCACGAATCATAAAACCGCTGACTGCGACACTCTGAAAGCGAAACTGACAGGCCCTATGCGTCAAACACCCGCCCTCCAATCTCCTCCCACATCCAACAAACACAAATCCCCACTAAAACATCTAACGAATTCAAAATTTCGAAAATCACTCATCTATAGCAAGTGAGTGGAAGCAACCCTGCATGCAACCATTCTTCATGATACACTTTTTCTGCCTATCTTTCTATTAGGCCTGTGGACATGCGCTAGCTTCGAAACTTCTAACTAAACTGGGAAATCTATCAGATCACAAAAACTTGAAAAAACTTTCAAAGGTATTATTGATTATTTTACGCAAAAACGAGCAAGTAATATTATATATTTTGTATCGTATGCAAATGTCAATTGACTGTAACAAAAATAATATGCTAAAATAAAATAAAATTTTAATAACATGATATGCAAAATTTACTAGCAGATCATTACTTTATTGGTGAGAAGTTTCGAATAGGCCCTCCCAGTTCCTCTGTATACAGAACAAATCTGATACTATAATCAGAATTGCTCAGTCTGCATGAAGCAGCCGATTTCAACAAGGAAGTTCTATTAACAATCAAGAATTAATCGTTAAAGGCATACTAAAGCATTAAGAAGGTGATATGTGTCACTATAGGAAATCATCATATATAAAGAAATTAAACATAACCCTTTGCTTCAGTACCGTCAACCACCATGTCCATCGGGAGGAAAGTTTTGTGCCTTTTTATTTTATATCGCAAAACAACAGATTTCTCTCACTCCATCTCAAACCCCTTCCTGCTGAAAGAGCTACGTTACAATGCTTCTACTGAAATCCATGAGTCCAATTAACAGCTTGAAAACACGATCACTCTGGAATCACCTGTGCGAAAAAAAAGCTCTTAAGCAAACCCCACACGCATCAATATATTGACGCGAAGGGGAATTATTGACAATAATATTGATAATGTGAATTCAGAAATATTGTCAATCTTGATATATTGACGTCAATATAGAATGTATTGACAATAAGTGGACCCTACACGACTGTGTGTATTGACAATAATCGTATTGTCAATATATTCTATATTGACGTCAATACATCGGTATTGACAATATTTCTGTATTCACATCATCAATATTATTGTCAATACTTGTAAGTATTGACAATATTTCTTACGGTGTGGGGTTTGCTATACGATTATTGTCAATAAAAGCAACCGTGTAGGGTCCACTTTAGTCTGCGTCCGTATTCTTCTGGGAATCAAAAATTCATCACGTACGCACTATCGCATAGGCTTAAAACGATTCGTGCACGTTCGCTATAACTAGCAACGAACAAGTAAGTTACATCCCAGTTCTCACTATTGTACCAGCCATAATGCATCGAAACAAGTGGATAAACGTGCTGCTACTTGTCTGCATTCTGGATCAAGCAGTAACAGCAAAACGCTACAAACGAAACATAGTGAAAGCTCTTACCCATCTCGGACCAGATGGAAACAAAACTCTCGGTAATTATGTGGACTTCAGCACAGTTTTGGGTCTAGATTATGGTAACCCAAAGCCTAAAATTCGAAAATCGTACGATTTCATCGTGGTAGGAGCAGGACCAGCAGGATGTTCCGTCGCAAATCACCTGTCAGAAAATCCTTCGATAACGGTTTTGCTGTTGGAGCTCGGCAAATCGGAAATTTCAATCGCTCAGGATGTTCCCGCAACAAACTTCTTTCAAATTTCAACGGATTACAATTTTGGTTATGTGACCGAGCCCCAAACAGGAGCATGTTTGGGAATGAAAGATAGGCGGTGTGCCTGGCACCATGGTAGAGGACTCGGCGGTTCGACTTTGATCAACAACATGATTTATACTAGAGGCAATTGGCGAGACTACGATTCTTGGAATGCATCAGGTAACATTGGTTGGAGCTACGACGATGTGCTGCCATATTTCATCCGGGCAGAGAGAGCAAATTTGCGTGACTTTGAGGATGATGGCTTCCATGGAAAGGATGGATATTTGTCGGTCGAGGACATAGCGTTTAGGACTCGCCTGGCTTCCACTTTTGTGAAAAGTGCTCAGGAAAGTGGAATGCGCTACATTGACTTCAACAGTAGAGATCAGTTGGGGGTATCGTACGTGCAGTCCTTGACCAAGAAAGGTGTGCGATGGTCAGCTTTTTTTTTTTTTTTTTTTTTTTTTTTTTTTTATTAATTTATTTGATAAGGCTCAACCGACTTAACTTTACAGAGCCGAGGATTCTTGGTTACTTTACAATACATCTTAAAACTATAGTCAAAAGGTACAACACAATAAACACTTTATCTTCCGCTATCCAAAAAGCCTCCTCCATCAGAACTGGAGCCGCTTCCAGTAGTTTCATTGTATGGCAAATTGTTGTACGCCAACGAAGGTCAGAGCGCGTCCATTGCAACAATGGACGCAAAACGTGGTCAGCACTCACACACTCATCACGAAACAGTTGCTTTCCAAAGTCGACGACGCATCGACCGAAAGAACTGCTGATGAAGAACAATGAGGAGGACCACACAATGGTTGCTGCCGAGAAAACAGACGATTGCGTAGCACACATCGAGAGTGGCCTGCTTTTGTCGACAGCCGAGTGAACACTGCGATGGTCAGCTGCTAGAGCTCTTTTGCATCCCATAAGACAACGGGAAAATTTGCACATTCTGACGGAAGCATGGACCACAAGAGTCCTCATTGACAAAGAAACGAAAACTGCTTTTGGAGTGGAATATACATGGCATAGGAAAACATTTTCGGTAAGAGCTAAACGGGAAGTGATTCTATCAGCAGGAGCATTTGGCAGCGCTAAGCTGCTGATGCTTTCTGGGATTGGTCCAGAGGGTCATTTGAAAGATCTCGGAATTGAAGTGATCCATACATTGCCGGTAGGTGAAACATTGTACGATCACCCTGGAGCAATAGGGCCAGTTTTCACTGTTAGCACACCGATTGATAACCTCTACAATTTTGACTCAGTGATTACCGTTCCAAACTTTATACAATACCTCTTCGGCAGAGGAGTGTTCACTAGTAGTTTTACAGAATCATTAGCCTACGTGAAGAGCCCTGTTTCACAGTATCCTGATCCTGATTGGCCCGATGTTGAATTGATTCAGGCAGCTGGAGAAGTTGGAGATGATGCGTCTCCAGGTTTGCAAAATTATTTCAGAATTACGGATGAAATTATGAACGCGTACTTCAGACCGTTATACGAGAAACGAGCTTTCATGTATCTTCCACTGTTGATGCACCCTAGGACAAAAGGATCATTGAGATTGCGTTCGACGAACCCGTACGATCACCCGATTTTCGATTACAACTACTTTGAAGATGATCGTGATCTGCAATCACTGGTATATGGAATAAAAGAAGCAATCAAGATAACTAGTCAGAAGCCATTTACCGACATAGGAGTGGAACTGTATTCCGCGAAAGTTCCCGGCTGTGAAGAATTCGAGTTCAACAGTGACGGCTATTGGCGATGTCATGTACAGGTTTTAACTACTACCTACTACCACTACGTGAGTGTAATTGTACAATTTTAAAATGTTGACAATCTGAAAACCAAGTTCTCGTTTTAGGTTGCTACATGTAAAATGGGCCCCGCCACAGACCCAAGCTCCGTGGTTGATCCCCGGTTACGGGTGCATGGAATTAGGCAGCTCCGAGTGGTAGACATAGGAATAATTCCGAAGCCTCCATCGGCTCACACAGCGGCTATTGCGTACATGATTGGCGATAAGGGAGCTGATATGATCAAAGAAGATAACAATCTATGATGTTTCAGAGTTGGTTGGAAATGCTATCCAACATGAAGTTTTTTTTTCGTGTTGGGTATATTCATCACTGCGACCATTACTTTGGTCTAATGTAATATATTCCCCGTTTTTATATTTCTTTATAAGTATGCCGTATCACTATTTTGTGAAGCAACCGAAATAGACTGACCAAAAGCATTTTCCCAATCAGGTATTACATTTCGGATGAAATCAAAGGGTTCTGCCAGCCCCTTATCCAGAAAAATACGCCTTTTATTGAACATTGCTGCACAAGAGCATACACAGCAAAAATAATTTTGATATCACATCAAAGTGGATGCATTACAATCATGTCGAAAATTTTATGTAATTTTTATGACCACATAAATAAAAAAATGCAATAAAAGCAGCGTAATGTCAGTTCATGCATTGTATTAATGATAATTTTGTCCTTTTTAGCAAGTAATATTACACCATATTTTCGACATGATTGTCGTGCATCCACTTTGACGTGATATCAAAATTATTTTTTTGCTGTGTAGCATGTGTTCAAAGTCTTCCTTTTCTATGCCATAGAATCGACACGTATCCTCTTGAAGTTTTTCTATTAACTTCAAGTGACATTTACATGGACAATGTCCTGTTATCAACCTTTCTTTGATAATTCAACAATTTCGCTAGCTTAAGCGTGATAATTTATTAGCTAGAGAAAGGTCTGAAGAGGGCAGGTTGATAGTTCCACTAGAGTACGGTAGGATGAAAATTGATATATAATAGCCGTTTCAGTGACGATCGCGGAAGACTGTACTAAATTGTTTAGTCGATATCAAGTCTTAAAAATAAATAGGCCTGTGATATTTATTTTTCAGCTGTTTTTCATTCTTACACATCGAAATATGCTCGCGGTTTTAAGGGTGTTTAATGGGTCGTAGCTTTTAATCGTGATAATCTTCGTAAATAAGGCATAGATCGTGATTTTAGGGCTGTTAGGGTATTGACAATTATTAATCCGTTTACCTTCGTAAATATAGCCTAAATCACGATAGGGGTGTTTAGATGCTCGAAATCGTGAATCGCGTTTATTTATTAGGCCAACAAAACTGATTTTAATGGTCTTTGTTAATAATTAATGATTGTTAATCGTATTCATCTCCGTAAATAAAGCCTAAATCGTGGTTTTGGGGTGTTTGGATGTTCTAAATTTTTAATCGAGTTTATTTCCGAAAGTAAGGCCTAAATTTCGAGGGTTATTAGGATGTTCGAAATTTTTTTACACGTTTATATTCTCAATGGGGTCTCAATTGAGGCTCTTGGGGTGTTTAGGAGTTAAAATCTTTAATCACCTTTATCTCCTTTACCGCCCCTTGCCTCTATTGTTCTAACGGATTGTTTCACAAAATGGAATGTTTTCACTGCAGATTTTGTTCATTGATTTGTTTTATAAGGCTCAATCGAATTCACGTTACAGAACCGAAGATTTTTGTTCACTACACAAAACATCGTAAAACTAGAGTCAAAAGGTGCAACACAATAAACACGTTATCTTCCGCTATATCAGAATAGGATCCGATTCCAGTGGTTTCATTGTATGGCAGTATCGCCAACGAGGGCAGAGCGCTTCCATTGTAGCAATGGACGCAAAACGTGGGTATCACTCACACAATCCACACGAAATGGTTGCTTTTCAAATTCGACGACGCATCGACCGAAAGAGCTGCTGATTAAGAACAATGAGGGGACCACACAATCGTTGCTGCCGAGTAAACAGACGATCGCGTGACACACATCGACAGTGACCTGCTTCTGTCGACAGCCGAGTGAACATTCATCACTGAAGATGCCTTTTAAATTTATTTACCTTTCCGTACGTACCATAATATTTGATATATAGTCACAAATTTTAGGGATATTGTTTAAAATAAAACACTCCTTCTTGACCCCAAACTTGGCCTACGGATGCCGGCCTAACGCATTGAAACGTCATTGAATTGAGAATTTTTTTTAAATACTTTAGTGTTTTTTTTGTTTTTTCAGGTTCTCAACTTGACTATGCCAATCCAAAAACCTATCTTACATTTTAATTAGTAAAACTAATTTCATGTGTGCAACACTTTTTCCCTGCGTGTATTACTGGAGATCATTGTCTTCTTTGATCATATCTGCCCCTTTATCACCAATCATGTAAGCCACAGCTGCCGTGTGAGCCGAGGGAGCTCTTGGAACTATCCCAATGTCAACCACCCGCAACTTATGAACTCCGTGCACTCTCAGCCGAGCATCCACAACAGTCGTGGGATCAGATTCTGGTCCCATCTTGCATGTTCCGACCTAAAATAAAAATTTAGTTTATCCACTCAGCTCAAAATCAACGCAATCAATTACCACACTTACATAATGATAGAAGTTTACGGTCAAAGTCTGCGCATAGCACCGCCAATACTCATCACTGTTGAACTCGAACTGCTCACACCCCGGCAGCTTACGAGTGTATTGTTCCACTCCAATGTCAATAAATGGCTTTTGTCCAGTAATTCTAATCGCCTCCTTGATTCCATACACCAGCGCTTGCAGATCACGATCATCGTCGAAAAACGTGTAGTTGAATAGTGGATGATCAAACGGGTTGGTAGACTTCAGTTTGATCGAACCTTTTGTTCTGGAGTGCATCAGCAGAGGTACGTACATGAAGGCACGCGTATTAAACAGCGGACGAAAGTATGAATTCAAAATTTCGTCGTTTACCCGGAAGTAGTTCTGTCCTGCAGGTGTTATATCATCTCCCAATTGAAGGCCGGTTTGAATCAGCTCCACATCAGGCCAATCAGAATCGGGGTACGGTGAAACTGGAGTCTTTATGTATCCTACTGCCTCCGAGAAAGCTGATGTGAAGGGACCTTGACCGAAGAGATACTTAATCATGTTGGGAAGCGTAAGGGTGCTTTCAAAATTAATGTTATTATCGATGGGTTGGGTGACGAGAAAAACAGGACCTATGACACCTGGATGCTCGTATAGAGTCTCTCCAACCGGAAGGTCTTTAATCAGTTTTATTCCAAGATCTCTTAAATGCTTCTTAGGCCCAACCCCGGAAAGCATGAGCAGTTTTGCACTGCCGAATGCTCCCGCAGAGAGAATCACTTCCCGTTTGGCTTTTACGATAAAAGTCTTCTTATTTCTAGTGTACTCTACACCGATCGCTGATTTTGAATTATCATCGATGAGCACTTTTGTGACCCAGGCCTTTGTTAAAACATGTAGATTCTTTCGATTTCTAATAGGGTTCAAGAGCGCCCTAGCAGCTGTCCATCTCAATCCTCTTCGGGTATTGGATTGAATATAGGAAATCCCTAGTTGGTCCCTGCTATTGTAATCAATATAAGGTAACCCAGCCCTCAATCCACTTTGGACAAAGGTAGATGCCAGAGGGGTTCTATAAGGTATATCCTCAACAGAAAGGTATCCATTCTTGCCGTGGTAGCCATTATTTTGAAAGTCGCGCAAGTTGGCATTTTCAGCACTTATAAAATATGGAAGCACGTCACGATAGCTCCACCCAGGATTACCGGAAGCATTCCAGGCATCGAAATCTCGCCAGTTGCCTCTAGTGTAGATCATATTATTGATGATGGTGGAACCACCAAGACCTCGTCCATGATGAAAAGCACACTGCTGATTGATTAGACCCAAACAACCTTTTGACTGAGGCTCACTCAAATATGCATAGTTATAATCTGTAGCAGTTTGGAACAGAAATCCTCCTGGAATATCCTGAGCAGGGACGATTTCCGCTTTCCCAACTTCCAAGAGAAGAACCTTCACTGCGGGATTTTCGGATAAATGGTTTGCCACGGAACAGCCAGCTGGACCTGCTCCAACTACGATAAAATCATAAGATTTTCGAATTTTCGGATTCGGATTCCCGTAATCCAGGCCCAAAGCACTACTGAAATCAACATAGTCACCAAGAGTGTTATTTCCATTTGGACCGAGACGAGTCAGCAAGCGCACAACCGTAGCTTCAGACAGAAATATGACCAGTGTAAAACTTGTTAGTATTCTAAACTTCATTACGTTCAGCTAGGAGATCCAACTGTAACTGACCAGTGAACGGTTGTAAGGCACCACAGGTAGACTAGAACCCTCCAATTTACGTTGCCTATAATTGTGAGGCCACGTGCACAGGTTCTGTGCATATTCGTAGACGCCAGTGCTTTGTATTAAGGCCTTCTTGATTATATCCGCGTTCGAACAAGCCGGTGCAGTTTGTTTGCAATCAAGAGTACGGTGTATGGTTCACTGGTTAGTTAAGCTTAAAGGTTCGACTAGTAATCGATTGTGTTCTGTGATGTTGTTTCTGCAGATGGTATCAATTAAAATATACATATCTTACGTGATTGGATCAATAACAAATCTGCACCAAAAGTAACATACTCAGATAATGTAAATGTAACTCCTAAGCGGAACATACATAAAAAACTAATCAATCTTAGCTGAGTTTGGATAAATTATATCAAACTATGCTAATCGACATTAGTGCCTAGCTGTGGTTGCCTAGTGCTAAGTCGCAGTTTTCAGTATGTACAACCTGAAGTTGATGCCAAGTTTTTCAAACTTAATTAAATTGAACTGATCTGAACTAAACGAAACTGAACGCATTAAAATGAAATTTTAGGAAACAAAATCGGATAGGATCGTCAACTAGTGACCACTGCTGCCGATTTTTGTCTCAGTAAATAAAGCAATATCAAATCTTCATGTATCAAAATACATATTGTATTATTAAATTATCCGAAATTTAATCTTATTTATAACCTACTAGGAATATTATTTGTAAAAATGTTGTTTAATTTTAAAAATCAAATAAAAATGCAATGTTGTAGACAAAAAGATATTTTTTTCAACATCAGCTAGCTTCGGATCGAGAACCGGTCAATTGACAATACAGAAATTTTCTAAGATCATGAATTACATTCGAACTGCCACTTTTAACTCGGTAATTGGGACGCAGCCAAGATATATTGTATTAGTAATCGGTTTGTGTCACTTGTATAAATTTACCCTTAAATGAATTATAAGCCTAATTTTGAACAAAACAGAAAATTCTTTTTTTATTTATTTAGGTCGCTAACACATGGTATTTTTTTATTATTAATATGTATGCCATGAAATTCCATTTGTTATATGAAATGTAAATCAAGTATGAGTGAAGCAACATTCATTAAGTTATAAGCTAAACAAGAACATTTAAAACACAGTTTAAGTCAGTGAAATGATACGAGATTTTTAAAAATAACATTTAATAAACTGTGTCTAATTTAAATATAAATCTACTGGTTTTGAATGTATGTTTCGATAGTTATATTTTAAAGTAGAGAAAATAATGACCTTGGCAATTATTTACCTTTTATCGTCGAGGGGTAAATGATGATCTAGAGCAGCGCTGCCCAACGTGTGGCCTGCGGGCCGGACGTGGCATTTAGATCTCGCCAATGGCATCATTCTAGTCCAATTTTTTTTTCATCATTATTAATTTTAGCCCAGCATGAATGAGAAAGAAACAAAATGCGGCTTTAAACATGTTCATTGAACATAGATACATCCATTTGAAAAAGCAAGCAAAATGATGCTCTAGGATATGAATGGGCACTCCAGTACTGCATTACCTGCTTCATGCCGAAGCTGACATTTCCTCAATATATAGCATTTTAAAATCACTTCAAAAAGCACCCAGGTTTGGGGTATCCACTCATTCTAAACAATCCACGAATACAAGCATCCTGCAATCCACATTTACGCTCGTATGGAAGTACATTGCGATATCTGCCAGGAATCGAAATCTGTCCCGTTCACTCTCGTATATGATTAATTGATGATGGTAGCCATCCAGTCCTTCTGCGCCGTTCATGCTTAAACATCCTTCCTCCAGAAAAAATAGATTTGCATCTATCTTATGTTGGATTTCAGCAGCAACACATTTACATCGGTATTATCGGACAAATAATGCATCGATTCGACACAGCACCCAACTGTTGTATTCTTTTCCAGATTCTCGATGGCACTGATATCCACTAAGTCAGCTCCAGATTCATTTTCAGTCGGATCGGATTGTATGGGTGTTTGCACGATAGCACGTTTCCTGCGATGCGCTACATTGAAAGATCCCGATAGGCACATGACAAAAATCAGATTTATCAAAAGTCGGAGCTCCATTCTGTTCGGTTGTAAGTTCTAATGAAAACTGTACTTCGAGTGATGGTGCTACCCGATTAGATAGATATATGAATTAAAGAAGAGGAATGCCGGAACCGGTGCCGCAATCATGACTGACAGAGGTATGATTTAAGTCTTTCTTTGGTTTGATTAGTATTTATTTGCCGGTGTAGCTGGCGATGATCCATGCTTGGTGTGTTGAACGCACGTGTGCGTATATTAATAAGCTTTTGTTTGATTAATTGAATCTACTCGAGCTTGCTTAAAGATGTGTGCCTCTGTTCTTTTGCTTTGTTTTGATTTTTCACTGTTTCTTTCTGAATCAATTAGGTCCCTTAGTAATTTTATGGCGAATGAGCAAACGAGCACCGATTTGTATGAAGCTGATGATTTCGGTGTAGGCTGAATCGCCGTATTCAACATCCATACCTCTCACGCCAAAGTCTCGAGTTCACATATAATCACCGGACAAGTTACGAATGACCCAAATATAACAAATAATAGAGGCTGCTAACAAATTTTTTTTGAAAAGTGCGTTTAATCAATTTAAAACATGGGAAGTATCAAGACTACAGAATTGTAAATATTTCGGTTTTAGTAGACATTTTTTTTTTCTTGATGTGTTTTTCGTCGATCTTGTTTTCCGTACTGAGTACCAATAGGGTAGAGAACTACTTCGGCCTAATCGCCCATTTTGGGCCTATCGAGCAGAAAACCTATAGAGCAGAAAACTTCCATGGTTACAGAGTTAATATGTCAATTATGCGTTTGGTACGATACTTTAGTTATTAAGTTACCAAACGAAGTCAATGAGAACGCGTGATATGAAGGTTTGCACCCATTATTCCCAAAAACAAAAGAAGCGCTCCGATCGAATCAATTTTTATCTTCATTCGATAGGCTGAAGTGAATTCATTGGCGTTTTAATGGCGTTTCAATGCGTTAAAGGGTGTCCACGATGAAATTGCCACACTATGAAATTGCTCTAACTTTTTAACCGTTGAGTAGAATTTAATGAAAATTTGAGTGGATTTAGTTCATAGTGCATTATTTACATCCTGCAAGTTTTAAAGTCCTGTGATCAATGGAGTCGAAAGAACAGCTCGTGCGTGATAAAATCTTGCGCATTCATCACGAGAACAAGGATCTCTCGCATCGTTCCATCGCTAAAACGTTGGGAATCGCGAATTCCACGGTGTCGCGAGTGATTAAGCGGTTCGAGGAACGGTTGACCACCGATCGGAAGCCCAGAAGTGAAGGAAAAAGTATTCCGTACAATACCAAAAATCACAACCGCGTAGTTGGGGCCTTCAACCGAAATCCGAACGCCTCCGTTAGGGATGTGGCTAAGAAGCTGCACCTAAGCCGAAGTTTTGTCCAGAAGGCCAAAACTAAGGCTGGGCTTCGAACGTTCAAGGTACAAAAGGCCCCTAATCGCGACGAGAAGCAGAACAAGTCCGCCAAAACCCGTGCCAGGAAGTTGTACCTCAACATGCTGACGAAAGTTGAATGCTGCATCATGGACGACGAAACATATGTGAAAGCCGACTTCAAACAGATCCCCGGCAACCTGTTTTTCACGGCCAAGGATAAGTTCAGCGTTCCGGAGCATGTCCGCACTCAGAAGATGTCCAAATTTGCGAAGAAATTCCTGGTTTGGCAAGCCATCTGCACGTGCGGGAAGCGGAGTGCACCTTTCGTGACCCAGGACACGATGAACGGACAGGTGTACATAAAAGAGTGCCTCCAGAAGCGGCTGCTTCCTCTCCTGAAGGCCCACAACGTCCCAACAATCTTCTGGCCGGATTTGGCCTCATGCCACTACTCCAAGGACGTGCTGAAGTGGTATGCGGACAATAAGGTCAATTTCGTGCCGAAAATGTTCAACCCTCCCAACACTCCGGAGCTCCGCCCCATCGAGAAGTACTGGGCGATTATGAAGCAGCACCTTCTTAAACGACCTAAGGTAGTGAAGACAGTCGAGGAACTAAAGAAAGTATGGGTTTACATGCAAAAAACGGTTGATTCAGAGGTTGTGCAGAATCTTATGGCCGGGGTTAAGGCCAAGGTGCGGGCATTTGCGTATGGACTGTAAATAAAATACGAGTAAAATGGTAAAATGAAGTTTAATAGTTATTTCTCAATCCCTGAAAATTTGATGGCAATCGGATGAAAACTCGAATTTTGCGAATCAATTTTGTGTGTGGCAATTTCATCGCGGACACCCTTTAGGCCGAGTTTAAAATCCGTAGACCGAGTTTGGCGTCAAGAAGTAGTGTTAGTTATCTCAACGATTGGTTTCTCTTTATCAAATCTCCCGGTATGTACGGAAAGGTAAATAAATTTGGAAGCCATCAGTAATAATAACATTCCGTTTGGTGCTAATTCTGCCCTAAATTAAGAAAGACTTAGTGTGGGTTGTACTTAATAGGCCGGAAATGGGGTAGCTAACCCTACTACAGACACCATGAAGGTGGCTCTCATACCTTGACACTACCTATCGACCCATCAAACTCATGGCCCGGGGACCAACGGCTTTACTTCCCGTGATTAGAGATTTTATGCCTCAGAAAATCCCAACGGCACTGACTGGGATTGAACCCAGGCCCTTTGAAGTGAGAGGCAGTCAAGCCAACCAGTACGCAACCGGCCTGCTGTAGACAGTAAAGCAAGATTTTTAAAAGATAAATTTATTTACGCATTTATTGGAGGGTGATAACCTAATTCCAGGGCAAATGTTCGAGGAATCTGATCAATTAAACTCATACGATCAAAACCAGCGCATACGTTTTTAAAATCGTGCGTAAAGCATCCGATCAACTCATAGTTAGCATGCTCTTTTTGAATAAGCTTTCTCCATCGTTGATACTATACTATACCCAATATGTCGTTGAATAATTCTCTTCGGGAGATTGTTGTGGTTCATATTAATTTTAGTAGCTCTTGTGTTCTTTTGTTTATAGGATGATAAACACAGTTCGTACAAGTAGTGTAAATTTATGTCACTATGATGCACATAAATGGAGCGTCACATACCATACAAATTCACATTACAGATCGTGTAAATTTATGAGTCATTTCATAAAATATTCTAAATATTGTATGCAACCATCCATCTTTGTAAGCAATATTTCTTGAAAGTTGCTAGTTTATCTGAAAAGGAAGTTTACATGCTTCAATTTTAGCATGCATGGATATTTACATCACCATTAAAATTCACATTTTTTTTGTGTGAAAGTAGTTTTTTCAAGTTACTCATTAGATTTTTTTTTCCTTGGATTTGTTTTCCGTCGATCTTGTTTTCCGTGCTGAGCACCAATGCTACCGACGCCAGGAAGGCAGCTCCCACACCTGGACCCTACCTAGCGACCCATCAACTCATGAACCGGGGACCAACGGCTTTACTTCCCTTCCGAAGGAAGGCGTGATCAGAGATGTTATGCCTCAGAACATCCCGGCGGCGCCGACTGGGATTGAACCCAGGCCTGCTGGGGTGAGAGGCAATCACGCTTACCACTACACCACCGGCGCAGCTTATTACTCATTAGATGAATGATACCGATATAATGAAATCGGTAAGACTGTTCGTTTGGCCAAAAAAGCTCAAACTACTTTTAGACGTTAATATCGTAACATTTTAAGGCCCTTAACCTTCCGAAATTTCAAAGTTCGAAAAAGTTGTGTAAATTACCATTACTGTGACGCATGGAGCATACATTATAGATCGTGTGAATTTATGAGACAATGAATAAAATATTCCAAATATTGTATGCAACCATCCAATGCTTACAAAGAACATTTCTTGTAAGTTGCTCGTTTACGTGAAAAGAAAGTTTAAATGCATGAATGTTTACATCACCATTAAAATTCAGATTTTTTTTTTCTGTGCTGTCATACACACCGCTGAATACAAGCTTGTAAACAATTTCAATATCCTTTGATTTGACTTCGAAAATAAAAGTGCGGGACTTTGGGCGAGACTGTCAATTTTGTCAAGACACTGGATGGGTTTTTACTAAGAGATAAACTCGTCTATAATCAATAAAACTAAAATCCGCTTCCACTTTATATTCATTGGATTTTGTGTTCTGCGAGCAACAGCCTTCACCTCAAGTTGGAATATAATCGAAATGGGAACTGATCTCGGGCTGTCCATAAAATATGTAGATAATTTTTGAGAGATTTTAGATCTCCTCCTTCGCCCTGCGAGGATAATCAATCAGTCAATCCCTATCCTTCACTTCCTAAATTGTCTACGTATTTTATGGACACCCCCTGTTTACCGATTTGCATATGATCCTGCGTGGTACCTACTATTATCATATCTGCAAACGATGCAACCGGATTTTATGCGATATATATTTAAAAAAAATGTTTCTTCAACGCATCAGATGTGAATGCATTGTGACCAGACCTTGAGCACTTTTGCCAAAGAAAAACTTGTTTCATTAGGTAGGAGCCGAGAACGGTAAATGTATTCAGCAATGCAATCCTTTCTGTTGAAGTGGAGCGGTGGTTGAGTGGTAAGCGTGACTGTTTTCTCAACCCAGTTTGTCCTTCTTAAGAGAAACAAAATCGTTGGTTACGGTCCCGTGTATTTGATGGGTTTGATATTTAGGGCCATGGTGTTGAGTCACATCCCTGGCGTCGGTGAATGGCACTCGTTTGCAGAACAGACTCGACGAAAAATGAACAAGAACAACAACTAAAATTTGCCGAAGCAGATACACTGACAACCGGTAAACAATTCCAATTTTATTCACCACTGAGCTCACTGATCAAACTCAAAATTCATCTGAATTAATTACATTGGTACATTGTCACATTCGTTTTTAAATTAAGTATATTACATCAAATAGTTATCCTGTTTGATCATATCAGCCGCCTTCTCGCCGATCATGTAAGCGTACGCTGAAGTGTGTCCACTGGGAGCCACCGGGATAACGCTAACATCAACTACCCGCAACCGTCGAATCCCGTGAACCCGCAATCGATGATCCACGACTGATGAGCGTTCCGACATTGGTCCCATTTTACACGTGCCGACCTGTTGATTGGAATTGTGTTAGTTAATTTTCCTTTGCATTCAGCAACAAATGAAACGATCTTCACAAAGTGATACCCCACGTAGGTCAGGGTCATGGCGTAGCAGCGCCAGTACTCGTCGGTGTTGAACGAAAAGTGCTGACAACCCGGAACTTTCGCTTTGTATGGCTTCACACCCAAGTCACGGAAGGGTTTCTGGCTAGTGATTTTCATTGCCCCTTTCATTGCATACACCAGGGCCTGCAGATCGTGATCGTCTTCAAAGTATTGATATTTGAACAGTGGATGATCGTACGGATTTTTCGATTTCAGTTTTAGTGAGCCTTTTGTCGTCGAGTGCATTAGGATAGAAAGGTACATGAAGGCTCGCTTGTTGTACAAGGGTTTGAAGTAATTTTCCAAGGTTTCGTTGTTGAGTCTGAAGTATCTTCGAGTTGCGGGAGTGTAATCGTCACCGGGCGTGGATATCAGTTGAACTAGCTCCACATCCGGCCATTCTGGGTCAGGATAGATTGCAACTGGAGTTCTGAAGTACACAAACCCTTCAGCGATAGCAGAAGAGAGAGGGCCCTTTCCCATGGAGTATTTCAACATGTTAGGTAAAGATATCAAAGATTCTGCGTTTTTCAGCTGGTCATTCAAATTTGTCGCTATGAATACTGGTCCTAGCACAGCAGGATGATCGTAGAGTTCTTCTCCAACGGGAAGATTATTGACTACTTTTATTTTTAGCCGTTCGAGATGATTTTTAGGCCCTACTCCGGACAGCATCAACAGTTTTGCACTACCGAAAGTTCCCCCTGACAGAATCACTTCCCGTTTGGCTTTTGCTGTACGAACACTTTGATTTCTGGTGTATAAAACACCCACTGCTTCTTTGGATTTTTTGTTGAATAAAATTTTAGTAACCCACGCTTTCGTTAGCACGTGTAAATTTTTCCGTCTATTGATTGGTTGCAGGAATGCTGCTCCTGCTGACATTCTTCTACCTCGTTTCATCGTAAATTGAGCGTAAGATGCACCAAACTGGTTTGGCCCGTTGTAATCAATATACGGAAGTCCAACTAACTGAGAACTTTTCACTAGTGCCTTCACAATCGGGGTTCTGTAGGTAGCATCTTCCACCGGTAGGTACCCCTCTTTTCCATGGAATCCGTTGCTATCAAAATCACGAATGTTCGCATCTTCTGATTTAATGAAATACGGAAGTACGTCTTCATAACTCCATCCAGGATTTCCTGTTGCATTCCAATAATCAAAATCCCTCCGATTTCCACGAGTGTACAGCATATCATTAATTATCGTCGATCCACCTAGACCCCGCCCTTGATGCCACGCACAACGTTGATCCACGAGTCCTAGACATGCTTTCTTCTGCCTCTCAGTCACATAGGCAAAATTGTAATCCGTCGCTGCTTGAGCGAAGAATATTCCCGGAATTTGTTGAACCAATGGAATTTCCGCTTTACCAATTTCTAAAAGTAACACCGTAACCGATGGATTTTCACTCAATCGATTTGCGACCACTATCCCGGCAGGACCCGCTCCAACCACAATGAAATCGTACAATTTCAACAATTTTGGTTCCGGGTCACCATAGTCCAGTCCAAGCCACTGGCTGAAGTCAATGACATTTCCAAGCGTCCGATTATTATCATTTACACTATCGGCCTTGACCGACTCTGCGAAAAATGTAACACTCAATAATGCGACACACCGCCAAGCATATGACATCTTACACTTTACATGTAACGCTCCCAAAGAAGCAGAACCGAACCGAAACCACGTCGCTCCTTGACTATTGACTCGCCAAAAACTGAACTGATCCTGGCACGAGGCAAATCATTTTATATAAACTAACACTATTGACAAGTTAGTTGACCGTGAAAAGAGCCATCCATTCAAAAACGTGCCGAATAGCTTCCGATATCATAGCCATAGCACAACAAAGTGGTTCTCAGGTGAAATTTTAATATGGCAAACCGTCCACATCGTGTGTGTTAGACTGTTAAAGACTTTTTTTTTTGGGAAAATTTTCAAAATAAATCGTATGCTCTCCATATGCCAGCGCTAACCGGTTTTGGTGGTATTGATATCGGTTTCCATGGTTGTGGAATTTGTCGGTCCTACCACAATGTTTTAGGTTTGTGGCATAGGTTATGCAGAAGATTTTTATCAAATTTATCGACTGATCATTTCCATTTTTGTGTTTTGTCACACCCCCTTCTTTTAAATAGCCCAGATGGTGCTAGAATCTAATTCCTAAATTCTGATATAATTACCCGTACATTATTGTGGCGAGAAGCTAGGACGATGAGAACGAAAGTTTACTTTTTTTTCAAGGGGGCCGACTCTATCTACGATGCTGGAAAAAATGTGTTTTGCTGTGGATAGCTACGCGCACGTTGAGTAGATATGAAGAAGATTGATGACGATTCTGAAGATTTCCTGCAAAAAGATGATGTGCGATGCAAGTAGATGCGAGAAATGAAAGAATATTTTTCGAAAATTGATTCGCTAGTGTGAGATTTGTTGAGCATCTAGAATTGAGATTTAGATGTGTCGTCCCCCTCGCTTTTCTATAGTTCCGTGGACCTCCGTTAATCGACACTTCGTACATAGTACCGGGCAGTGATGTTAAAGTTCGCAAAAAATCACTACCCAGACAACCAGAAGTCGTATAAAAATGTACAGACAGTATCGTAAATTGCTACAGTTTAAGTCAAAATCGCATTTAAGAATGGCATACTTCGCATTATGTTTAAGTTAAATCGTATAGAATGCATATCTCCGACTTATATGCGATGACTCATTTTACCGTCGTGATACAGCAAATTAAATCAGACTACATCGTAAGACTTTTCAAAATGAATTTGTTTTTACATATTAAATCGTAAATGATGTTAAATCAATTCGTTTAAAATTAAATTAAAATATGCACGTATATGGCCTCCACTTTTGTACGTATAAGCCATTTCTTTGCATTCTATACGAATTGTTTGTTTGTTTATATGTTTGTATATCCCGAAAACAACTTTGAATATACGTGCATTCTGGTTGTCTGGGTATGGCTCGCGAACTTTTCCCTTGGAGAACTTCGTGAAATATCGCGAACTTTTCCAACACTGGTACCGGGGTTCATTTTTAATCTAAACTTCTAGTAACCCTATGACCAGCAGAAAAGCGAGTTTCCGCTAACCTTATTTACTGTTTTGTTTTGATTCTGCGTTCCATTTCGCTTTACTCTGTTCCATATACTGGGTGACGTTTGAGCAAAAATTTTGTACGCCATGTAGATTGGTAGGGTTCAAACTAAAAAGTGTTCAGACTAAGAACGGTCAGATTACCGGGGGTTCACGCTAATCCCCGTATAAACTTCAAAGAGCCAGTGAGAAAATGAGCTTAAATTTAATGAGAATGATCAGGAACTTATTCGTAATCGATCGAGCTGGTTGGAGTAAAATTGATATTTTGATCCACCCTAATAAGTAAGTTAGGCATACGGGACTTTAAGTATGAATACGGCGGTGAGGTCGAGCGGTTTTCTCACTCCAATGTGTCTGGGTTCAATCCTAGTCGAGGTCGTTGGGATTTTTTGAGGTGGAAATTTCTGGTCACATCTTCCTTCCGAATGGAAGTAAATCCGTTGGTCCCGGCCCATGTGTCAAGCCACCTTCCTGGCACTCGATTGCCGTTAGTGATTAATCACCAATTAGTCATTTCAATGGGCACTCGATTGTGAATCAGAGATCGACGGCAAATAAATGAATGTTTTACCATTTAAAGAAGAAAATTTTCATTCAAAAGATTAGTCTACGCTCAAGGCTGTGGGTAGCTTTTTTGTATTTTTTGTATGTAAAATATCAGATTTGTTCCGACTGCTAATGTGTATTTTGGATTACGTTTTGGCTTCTCAAGGTTTTCAAGAATCTAAGCAAGTATATCTTTTCTTGATCCAACGTTTCGGATGAATACAGATCGATTAAACATAACCATATGGAAAATATTGAAAACAAAAATCAAGATCCCCCAAATAAAAATGTCAGTTTTAACGATCGTATTAAATAGAAGACGTTTTTTCCGAAACAATCATAATTCTACTTTTTTTTCCAAGATTTGATCAGAACTTTGTGATAGAGTTCGAATGAAACCCTATATTTGTGGTGGGTACGTTTACACTGATTTTAATTTTTTATCAGCGCGGTAGAAATAGATTGGGGTGATAAGCGTGTCTCGATGACCTAGTGGCGACCGTTTTCACTTTTGTATACTATTGGTGGAGGATTGACTGTATTGTTTAATATTGTATTGAAACGACTATGCATTCTTTAATAATTCTAACCAGTTTTTATTTACTTGATGTTTTGACATGGTCTAGTGCCTTCTTCAGGGGGAAATCCCCGTGTCGAAACGTCAGGTAAATAAAAATTTGTTTGTATTATTAAAGACTGCGTACACACTTAATCTAGCTCGGTAAAAATAAATCCAACAGCCGATATCAGCAAAAGTAAATGCCGAGGTAGGCATTTACTTTTGCTGATATCTCAGCAAAATGTTATTTGTTAGCTAAGTCTTGGATATTACTTTACTGAATCTCAGAAAAATTAAATGCAGAACTTCTTGGTTGTTGGAATCTCGGCGAAAAAATTTAAGTGTGTAGCTGTTTCAACAAAATCTTATGTTTAATAAGGTGAGTTAATCAGTTATGGCTATACGTTTCTATTATGTTGCGTTCAGATTATGGCCTATGGGAATTCCATTGGTCATAATTGGAACACACCATAATATGAACGTATAGCCATAACTGGTTCTCCTACCCTATATATATGTTTTTTTTATTTGAATCGCATTATTTATTAAGAATCAAATTTCGAAAAAGTGATCTATGGACCGAGGTATGAACGATTGTTTACGCAGGGGTAGGGGCCCCCTCATAAATCATCTAAAAATCAAGTAGTTTATGAACAGCCCCTAATTATCAAACATATTGGTTGTTGTTGAACTGGCTACTTCTGGGCCTTCTGCTAGGGACAGGAATTTATCCGATGTCCTTCCATTTAACTAAGGAAACACAAGTTTTCGTTTCTTTGATAGAATCAGCGAATCCAAACACATAAAACAACCAACGATACAGACAACACGGTTGCTATGACTACCATGACAAACTCACTCTGTAACATAGCTCGATCGGAGTGGTAGAAGGATAATGATAGATTACTTGCCTGCTTTGTTGCAATATACACGGATGAGGAATCTGAATGATCTGAATCGAGAAAAGACATAACAAAATAAAATCCCAAAACACAAGTGTATTATCTTCGGCTTTACATCGTGGAGCAGCTTGCAAAAAATTTGCTCGTTTCCTTCCACCGCCCCGAGTGCGTTGTGTCGCACAGGCTGATTGTCATGAAAAAAGGAGTAAGAGGTTGTATCCAAGACAAGACCGTAGGTTTGACGTGGGATTACGTGCTCGGTATCAATAGTCGGCGACTGTGTTAGGGAAATCACTCGATGATAATTTTGAAGAGCATTGCAACAGTTTGACATTTGTCTAATTTTCAATAGCGACCTCTTGAAAATTGACAAAGTGTTCATTTTAGCAGATTCATAGGAAAATGTCAAATCGATTGGCTTGTCTAAAATTAAAATCCATCCGCTATTGAAAGTGTTATAAGTGATCAAAACCTTACCACTTTTCGTAACGCGGTCGATTTTGATTTTTTTAAATTGCACCCCCAATATTTTGACGAAACAAGTAATCCTACGTTAAAAGGAAGAAGATTATATTATTATTGCTTTCCACTTCTGACAAAGCGTTAACATTGATCGCTTGTCATTTTGTTATTTGGAGATATTTTTGATTCCTTGGATAGAATATGTTCCCCATTTGATTGAGGAAATGAAGCAAGTTTGGAATCTCCTTTTTACGTTCGTATAGACTTCTATGCATGCTTGAATATTAATGCAGAACTTTGGGCAAATTATAAGAGTAAGTTCAAAAAACCATGTACAAATAGCAGTTGGTAGTTTTGTTCTTTAGCGCAAAATATTAGACACGTTTTTTTTTTAAATTTTGTCATTAGAGTTCCCATTTCCATGTTAGGGTGTTTTGTTTTGAACCATTGGGCGGATTCCATATATCAAATGAAAGGTAATCACACGTCTTCATTGATTTATTGCGACTGTTACATGGTCACGACGCATGGTAGTCTAGTCGCATAAGAGTATTGAGCGACACTCCAAGACTCGATAACTTAAAAAAACATTAAACTCAAAAACGAAATAAAAATACATTGCTGGTTTTTTGATATGTTGTGTAAAAAAGTCTAAATTTTCAAGGAAAAACATAAAAACATATTGCGGCCTCTGTGTGAAAACCATAAAAAAAACAAATACCCAATTTTTGAATATCATTATATTTTTTTCTAATAGCACCTTTTAAATACCTTTCATATGATATTTTCATCTTTGAAATCGGCCTAGTGGTTCAAAAGTTGGTCACCCTAATGAGAAAATAAAAAAATCCTGTCTAATATTTTTCAATAAAGAAAAAACCTACTATTTTTTACGACATTCAGAAAACCACTTTATCGTTTTGCTATGGAATGGCTGTATATGCGTACATATACTCATAATTTACTGGAATTTCAACTGGTTTTCTCAGTCTTGTGGGAAACGGTTTATTTTTCAATACCTGACTGTACGGCCAACATTTATTTGGCTTTTTCAAGGGA